CTATGAGTGTGCTGATCAAGAACTGATATCTTTATGGCGTGGTACATCTTCCGTATATCGCCGACAAATGCGACTGGGCCTTCTCTAAATCTCACGAGTATGCCGAGCAGGTTGTTCATAAGATCTGGTCCCTTAGCCCAGTAGTTATTTAGTGAATGTCCCTGAAACTTCGCTGACGAATTGAAGACTATTCGACAAGGCGTGGATGTGGATTCTGGTTTAAGCACCTCGTGGTGGCTTAGGTAATATACTGGGCCGTCATAGTTTTCAATTTCTACTTGTGTGAGTTTCCTTGCAACACCTCGCTGTACCATATCCTGAATCTGCTCCTTGTACGTTTCCAGAAGCGGTTTGTTCTTCTGCAACCTCTTTTCTGTAGACCCAAGCATTCTCAAAGCTGCTTCTTTGTTGTTTGGCAGATCATCCGGGCTCCTAATCCAAGGGTATCGCGCAACCCAATGATCGCCTTCATGTGTCAATCCTTCCTCAATCAAATTCCCGCTCCTCCTTCAATGTGAAGCTTTTCCCACCAATTGGGCACCGTCCACAGCGACAACTTCCACATCTCGGGGAACATTCAACGCCTAGAGATTCAGTATCGAAAAAATTTTCAATGTTTATCCTCGCAACATGGTGAACTGTAGCATGCTGGATAAGCTTAAGCGTGTTCTCTGCCATACTGGTATGAGACCCACCCAGACAACGACCGAATCGGTTTTTCAACAGAAGTAAATGCCCAGAAGATTGCTCCCGCTCAGGATGATAACCTGCATACTCATAACCAATCAACACATCTATTTCCCCATTTGGTCGCTGAATCTCCTGCTTGTTTATGTTTTGGAACAGATGCATCACGCCGTTGAGGTTAATTCCCTCCATAGGGGAGGATATCCGATCAATTCCATAAACGCGGAAGTTGACAGTCTCCCCTGATTCATCGATTAAGGGAAGTTTGTATACTGATGATCTCATCTCTTCCTTGACACCGCCAACTTTGACAACCGACAGCCTAATTTCCTCTCCATCCAAACTTAGCTCACGTGCTTTAGCAAAGGTGATCAGACTAATGGTTGCACCACCGTCCCACAGCACATTTAAAGGAGCAGCATTGACAGCTGATTTTATTTTCATCACCTGCAGCAAGCAAGTTCCCGATTCCTTTCCATCTGCGTCAGAATTTGGCCGGGAAAAATATGGTATATGGAATGCAACCCCTTGAACGTGGGCTACGTGTAAGGAATCATGGTGATATTTTGAACAATCATCACTGTTGCATTTCTTGCGTTGTCTGCAGTCAATAGAGCGGTGACCAATCTTGAGGCATGACCAGCAAGCTTGCTTTTCCTTTAACAACTGGACTTTCCCTTCAGGCGCCATCTCTTGATATACTCTACAATCGGCTGTATTATGCGTGCTCGAGCTGTGAACTAAGCACCTGGTCGTCTTTGTAGCTTCTTTGTCTTCAATAAACTTTCCATCACGGTCAATCATGTGGACACGACCTTTGCGAGCATGATCCCCTCCAGTCCTCAGCTCTGATGGCTCGTATTCTATAATCTTTCTTTGTTCTTGAAGGAATTGGAGAAGATACGGGAACTTATTTTTCTGTTCTACTTTGCTGGTTGATCTGTTGACTTCTCTAGACCATTCCCGCTTAATTAATGTCACGAGACAATCGTTCTTCGATTAAACTGACTGTTCCACTATTGGATATTTCAGATTCCATATTGATTCTGGCTAGATCTTGATAGCCTTTCTCAACCGTATTTATAAGCTCTAGAAATGATTGATCATCTCCTTCCTGTAAGTGCTTTATATTCTTAATATCATATACAACAACATCGACTAATTTTGATGGCAGACCATATTTCTCATCTAATCGCTTCCACATTTTCGTTACATCATCATCTAAGTTGTAGATGGCATCAAATGCTTCACCTTCGAGACATGATTTGAGGACATATGCAACTTTTCCAGATTCCAACTCTGGTAGGATTTGTTTTTCAAAATCTGATCGAAAACGAGGGTAGTCTCGAATATTTCCACTGAATTGGGGTAATTTCATTCTTTCTAGTTTCATTGTGCTTCCTCTCATTGCATTACCTTTGGTATCACTTTTCCGTTGAATAACGTCGCCGATTTTTTTAGATATTTGCGAATAAATCTTTTGGAGACTCGTGAACCAAGCTATCTCATCACCAGCTGTCTCAGCATCAAGTAGCAGAACATATTCACCATTAACCCTTTTACACTCTTCAAGTTGTCTTTTTAGCTCAGTTCTTGCCGTTTCAAGCATTGATGCTGCCGGATTGGGTTTGTCTATCTCTGCAGCTAATGCCTCTTCTAGATTTTCCACCTCTTGTCTAAATGCGATTTCTTCAACTTTGCGGGCTTGTTCAGCTCGAAAAATAGCTTTATCGCCCTCTTTCTTACGAATTTGATCTTCTTTCTCTTTAGAAATTTGTTCTTGTTGCCGTTCGATTTCCCTTTGATCCTCTTCTACGGTCTCGAAGTATGCCAACTTTTGCCGTAACACGTCATCATAAACTTTATCCATTTCATCAATCCATCCATCCTCTTGCTCAACATCATAAGTCGTCTTCGAATTTTCCAGCGATTCTATATACCCTTCGTGCTTCCGTTGGACGTCATCCCAGAGCTGCTTCAAATCTTTAAATCTACTCTCGATTAATGCAGCCGTATCTTTAGAGTTAATAAAGTCAACTAATTTCTTGACGTTCCGATTAAATACGCGTTTAGCCGAAGTTCGAGCCAATTTAGCCTCTGCTACCTCCAGAACCATGACTGTGCGCCAATTTTTGAATGGAATCACTTGAAATATTTTTCGTCAACTGGAAGCACAGACCGGAAGTAACTCGAAAATTCGCCGGATATCACTCACATGTTTACTGAAATTCCAAGTGTATATAGTTCGTTTAATATATTTCTTTAAAATGCTTTCAAACGTTGTTTACTCACTTTCTTGCTACTTTGATACAAGGACTTTGAATTTCCAGTGTTCGAAATATTTCGTCAATTTAAATGAGGCACACAATATCGTAAACAGTATCGTAATAAGGTTTCGAACCTACGAACAAAATATGAATTTACATAAATAATTACCCCTAATCCCACATAACAACAGGCCAAATGACGCATTATTTAATGTACTTACACTATGGGCTCTCATAAGTCCAAGTCATGTATATATGTCTCGCCGGAGACAGCTTCCACAGTTCTCAACGGAGAATAAACCAGTCCAAACAGTTCTCAACGGAGATATAAATTTCAACCTACAAGCTAGCATGCATACCAAAACTAATTAATTATTCTAATGTTTTCTTTTGGCGGGAAAATCTATTCCCAGTCCCAAGTTCGCAATTACAAACTTATCTGATCAAAACAGAGGGACCGAACTGCCTTGTAAGTTGAGAGAGAGTTTGAGTTTGTTAATGAAAAGACTTTCTCGAATGAGGAGTTTGTCTGGAGAAGAGCAACAAGAAATAATCTTAAAGTCATTAAGAGAAGCGGAGTGACCAGTGCTATCAAGATGGGAAAAGATACTAGACATGGTCGGATTGCTGCTTTTACTGCCTGTTAGAGGAGAAACACCCAAGTGTTCAGATACTTGTGTGTGCAAGTGATGGACCGTTTGGCCCAAATACGTTGCGGAACAGCAACGACATGTGAAAGAATACACAACACAAGATCTTAAAGCCTTAGGAATTCTGTCCTTAAAGGTGAAGAGTTGGGACAAATGTAAAGTTGGATGAAAAACGAATCTAATATTAAGATGAGGAAAGGCTGAGGAACAAAGACTGGAGATTTGGGTGCGAATTTGAAGAAAGTGAGCACCAGTATATGGAAAGGAGAAATATAGGACTTTCTTAGGAGCAGAATGAACAGCTGGTTTGGGTTGAGACACATTTTCTAAAAATGTTCGTACGCAGCGATCAAAAACACGAGTTGGATAACAATTCTTATTAAGAATCTGGCGGTATAGTTCTAACTGAACGTGAAAGTTCTCATAATTGGAGCAAAGACTAAAGAAACAATGTATAAGAGAAGAAACTAAGCTACGTTTAAGAGCAGTTTTTCACAGCAAGACCAAGAAGTTTCTTAAATTCTAAGACCATGAAAGCGAACAGCATTAGAGAATAAGCGGTTTGAAATTATATCAATGGTTTCATCTAGAGGAATGTTGGTAAATAAGGGAGTTACATCAAAGCTTGCTCCAATTATAACAACTTTCACATTTCTGTGTTTTCCGCTTTGTATGTCATTGCTCTGAAGATGTCTTAAGTTAAAGACGAAAGATTAGCTTTCTAATAAATATTTTAAACTATATTTTTGTTGTGGCTCTTTTACGTATTTTCTGCTGGGCATTAATATTTATCTTAAGTTGTAACATAGTTTGTCAATTAGTTCACTTGTATAAATGCCAATTCAAACTGTGTTATTTTTGTCTTGATCAACGGAGCAAAAAGGCGGAGCAAAATTAAAAGTCGGCTTTTAAACATTGATTCCTCACAAACTAAACGAACAAACTCATGGGCAGAATATAATGCAGCGCTAAAGTTGGCTGCCACGGCAATAGTACAACTAGCTACTTGCGACCCACTTGCTGTATAGAGTATAGTGTCACTAGCATGCATTTGTATTAATGAATAACTATATTACAAATACTTTATATGCACCAAATATAGCGTTGATTTAAAATTAATAGAAGCCGCATCCTTTTATAAACTCAACAATAATGTCTCGTAAACGACTTATAAGCCTTAAGTTTTTTAAGCCTTTATATATTTTATCAAATCACAAATGGCAATTGAAATTTTGCCCCAGAGACAACAGAGTCAGAGACAACAATCAACATACCTGAGTATATATTAACTATGGCCTATAGCCCTATATGATGACTGTACATCTGTAGCCAAATTAATCTTTGATGCTTCGTATAGTTTCTGAGACGTTTTATATAAATTTATATATATCAATCATTTTAAACTTTTATCGTTAATTATCAAACTATTGGTATTTCTCACTTACAATATTTTATTGTAAAATTAAAGAAATGAGAAGCTAGATGCTCGATATCTAATAGTAATAGTTATAATTTGGTTTGCTTCAGACAACAACTTCAAGACTGAGCATGTGGTTAAGCCACACAGTCAACATGCAACCGTCAAAAAACCCATCCTGTTTATCGATTGCCTTTCAATTAATAAAAAAAACTGATAGGAAATGATTTCTAGATATTCAAGTGACAACAATCTCTTGCAAGCTGTTCAGAATATACTAAAATATACTACCAGTGCATGTAGGTAGTACCAATGTGAAATTCCTGTGCTGATATGAATAAATTACTATTGTTGGGCAAAATCATGACTACCATTAAGACCTTTCCGGTTGGTCAACAACATTCCTATCCATAGTTGTCAAGCGCTGTGACAGTTGTAAGAACTTTTTGGCAATTCCTTTCGTGCAGCGGCCACTGGAAGGATATTCCTTATTTTAAAATCTTTGACGTGCACTTCTAGTAATGTAGTGTGTGCTTTGTGGTTTGCAGGGTGTTGGCTCCACTGCCAATTTTAAGTCCAGACTAGCTAACTACAAATCACACATTAAGCATAAGCACCGGACATGCAGTATAACTAATCATTTTATTGATGTGCATGAGGCCGATCATTCGAGCCTAAAATTTATGCTTATTGATCAACACCACAGTGAATTACTTAAGAGTGAAAACTTTTGGATAGGAATGTTGTTGATCAATCGGAAAGGTCTTAATGGCAGTCATTGATTTTGCCCAACAATAGTAATTTACTCATATTAATTGTATATAAGTATGTCCTGTAGTTAAACTAGAAGTAGTTAAGTGTAGTTAAGCTGTAGTTTTGCCAACACAACCAACCCATTTACTCCCCTGTTATATCCGTAGGCAGTCCAACATAAGTATACAAAGCAGTCAATCGGAAGGTCACAATGTGCCTTCCAAATCAAAATGCACCTATCCAATTGAAACTCGTCATTCAGCATGCATATGTATAAACAAAGCGATGACTACCCTTGCCACAAGGCACATTGGCATAGAATTTCTAAGGGCTGCACGTCAAATTCTTTTCGAGGCTTCAAGCATCCACGTACAAATTGAACCTGATAACTCACTTCCACCTTCTGTTCCCATGGACGTCCATCCATGGTCGATGGACATTTCACTTCAATACGATGACAACAACAACAGCTAGAGAAAGTAAGGCTGTCTTGCAAGTTGGCTTCAGAACGATGTACAATGCCTTTCTACATGACAGGTATTGATGAGTAGATCGACAATGCAACGTTCCATACATGAAAAAAGAGGTACGTTTATTCTGCCAGAAGAGCTTTTCTGTTCTCCATTCAATCTGTGGGAACTTCGTCAAGGTCTAAGAGAAAACCCTGACATGTACAAGAAATTTAGTCCCATCATTAACACACCAGCAGACCAAACAGCTACTTGGAAGCCTAAACAGTGTGCACCACCAGTCAAAGCTAACAATGACTGGGCCAGACAGACAATCAACATAATGATTTCCTCATCTTTGCATGGTCAAGTGTCCCCTGCACATAGAAACTCTCTGTTTTTGGGCGAAAAGCACCATACCAAAACGCTGGATATGGCTTGTTCTTAAAAAGGCACAAGTTTATCGAATGAGGAACTTGTCTTGTATTCTGAACAACTGCTCACAAAGGAAGAATTGGTACAGTCTGTGAGCTCGAACATGTAAAGCTCAAACATACTGGAAACAAGTAAAGGCATGTACGATGCTGGATATGCAACATGCAACAACCTTGGTCGATATGTGAGCCAACAAAATGTCTTGACTGCTCTATGCACATCAGAAATGTCAATGTATGAATTCAAACGACTGGAAAGCAATCAAAGCTCAGATAAATTCCGCTTGCAATGCTGAATACAAAATTGTCATAAAACAGCTTGTTGTTGTCACCAAGCTTGAACTGCAAGAATATATAGAACTGGAAGAAATCTTTACCAATTATAGAAGTATCATAAAATATTCGATAGTTGCAGAGAGAGAGAAATCATGTTGATTTGGTGGTGGAGAAATACCAAGTATTATGAGCTTTCTACTCAATTCTCTTAATTCTAACTGGACTGAGAAGCAACAGGAGGACGGGAGGAAATAAGTTTAAAGGTCTTAGCACTGTAGCATTGAATAAGTATCACTATTTTGCCAACGAAACCAACCCATTTGGTCCCCTGCTATATCCCTGGGCAGTCAATCGGAACATCACAATGTGCCTTCCAAATCAAAATGCACCTATCCAACTGAAAGTTGTAATTGTGTATGTATATCTATAAACAAAGTGATGACTACCCTTGCCACAAGGCACATTGGCATAGAATCTCTAAGGGCTGCACGTCAAATTCTTTTCGAGGCTTCAAGCATCCACATACAAATTGAACCCGATAACTTGCTTGCACCTTCTGTTCCTATGGCGTCCATGGTCGGTGATTGGTGGACATTTCGTTTGAATACGATGACGGCAACAACGGCTAGTGGAAAGTAAGGGTGTCCTGCAAGTTGGCTTCAGAAGGATGTACAATGCCTTTCCACATGACGGGTATTGATGAGTAGATCGACAACGCAACAAGGAGTTCCATACATGGAAAAAGAGGTACGTTTATTCTGCCAGAATAGCTTTTCTGTTCTCCATTCAATCGGTGGGAACATCGTCAAGGTCTAAGAGAAAACCCTGACATGTACAAGGAATTTTGTCCCATCATTAACAAGACCAGCAGACCAAACATCTACACTTGGAAGCCTAAACAGTGTGCACCACCAATCGAAGCCAACAATGACTGGCAAGACAGTCAACATAATGATTTCCTCATCTTTGCATGGTCAAGTGTCCCCTGCGCATGGAAACTCTCTGTTCTTGGGTGAAAAGCACCATACCAAAATGCTGGATATGGCTTGTTCTTACAAAGGCACAAGCTTGTTGAATGAGGAACTTGTCTTGTATTCTGAACTGCTCACAAAAGAAGAATTGGTACAGTGCGTGAGCTCGGACATGTAAAGCTCAAAGATACTGGAAACAAGTAAAGGCATGTACGATGTTCAACATGCAATAACCTTGGTCGATATGTGAGCCAACAAAATGTCTTCACTGCTCTATGGCAGATCAAAGAAATGTCAATGTATGAATCCAAACGACTCAAAACCAATCAAAGCTCAGATAATCGTCATAAAACAGCTGGTTATAAAACAGCCCGTCATAAAACAGCCGGTTGTTGAAACCAAGGTTGAACTGCAAGAATATATAGAACTGGAAGAAATCTTTACCAAGTATGGAAGTATCAGAAAATATTCGATAGCTGCAGAGCGAGAGAAATCACGTTGATTTGGTGGTGGAGAAATACCAAGTATTATGAGCTTTCTACTCAATTCTCCAAATTCTAACTGGATTAAGAAGCAACATGCAGACTGGAGAAGCAACTATTTCAAGGTGAAGATGTTGCATGAAAGTTTATAGACAGACCGATGCACTGCAGTCGATCTGAGCTCCATGCACAGTATCTTGCAAATAAGTTTAAAGGTCTTAGCACTGTAACATTGAATAAGTATCACTATTTTCCCAACGCAACCAACCCATTTAGTCCCCTGCTATATCCCCGGCCAGTCCAACACAAGTAGTTTATCAAGGAAATGTCAACATATGAATTCAAACGATTGGAAAGCAATCAAAGCTCAGATAAATTCCGCTTGCAATGCTGAATACAAAATTGTCATGAAACAGCTTGTTGTTGTCACCAAGGTTGAACTGCAAGAATATATAGAACTGGAAGAAATCTTTACAACTATGGAAGTATCAGAAAATATTTGATAGTTGCAGAGTGAGAGAAATCGCATTGATTTGGTGGTGGAGAAATACCAAGTATTATGAGCTTTCTACTCAATTCTCCTAATTCTAACTGGACTGAGAAGCAACATGAGGACTGGAGGAATGACAGGTATTGATGAGTACATCGACAATGCAACAAGGAGTTCCATACATGAAAAAAGGAGGTACGTTTATTCTGCCAGAAGAGTTTTTCTGTTCTCCATTCAATCTGTGGGAACTTTGTCAAGGTCTAAAAGAAAACGCTGACATGTACAAGGAATTTTGTCCCATTATTAACAACACCAGCAGACCAAACAGCTACACTTGGAAGCCTAAACAGTGTGCACCAAGAATCGAAGCCAACAATGACTGGCAAGACAGTCAACATAATGATTTGTTCATAATTTGCACGATCAAGTGTCCCCTGCGCATGGAAACTCTCTGTTTTGTGGTGAAAAGCACCATACCAAAACGCTGGATATGGCTTGTTCTTACAAAGGCACAAGCTTGTCGAATGAGGAACTTGTCTTGTATTCTGAACAACTGCTCACAAAGGAAGAATTTGGTACAGTCTGTGAGCTCAGACATGTGAAGCTAAAACATACCGGAAACAAGTAAAGGCATGTAAGATGCTGGACATGCAACATGCAATAACCTTGGTCGATATGTGAGCCAACAAAATGTCTTCACTGCTCTATGACAGATCAAAGAAATGTCAATGTATGAATTCAAACGACTGGAACGCAATCAAAGCTCAGATAAATTCTGCTTGCAATGCTGAATACAAAATTGTCATGAAACAGCTTGTTGTTGTCACCAAGGTTGAACTGCAAGAATATATAGAACTGGAAGAAATCTTTACCAACTATGGAAGTATCAGAAAATATTCGATAGCTGCAGAGCGAGAGAAATCATGTTGATTTGGTGGTGGAGAAATACCAAGTATTATGAGCTTTCTACTCAATTCTCCAAATTCTAACTGGATTAAGAAGCAACATGCGGACTGGAGAAGCAACTAATGCAAGGTGAAGATGTTGCATGAAAGTTTATGCACAGACCGATGCACTGCAGTCCATCTGAGCTCCATGCACAGTATCTTGGAAATAAGTTTAAAGGTCTTAGCACTGTAACATTGAATAAATATCACTATTTTGCCAATGCAACCAACCCATTTAGTTCCCTGCTATATCCCTGGGCAGTCCAACACAAGTATATCAAAAAAATGTCAACATATGAATTCAAACGACTGGAAAGCAGTCAATATGCTCAGATAAACTCCGCTTGTAATGCTGAATACAAAATTGTCATGAAACAGCTTGTTGTCACCAAGGTTAAACTGCAAGAATATATAAAACTGCAAGAATATATAGAACTGGAAGAAATCTTTACCAACTACGGAAGTATCAGAAAATATTCGATAGCTGCAGAGCGAGAGAAATCACGTTGATTTGATGGTGGAGAAATACCAAGTATTATGAGCTTTCTACTCAATTCTCCTAATTCTAACTGGACTGAGAAGCAACATGAGGACTGGAGGAAATAAGTTTAAAGGTCTTAGGACTGTAACATTGAATAAGTATCACTATTTTGCCAACGCAACCTACCCATTTGGTCCCCTGCTATATCCCCGGGTAGTGCAACACAAGTATACAAAGTGGTCTATCGGAAGTTCACAATGTCAAAATGCACCTATCCAACTGAAACTTGTCATTCTTTATGTATATCCATAAACAAAGTGATGACTACCCTTCCCACAAGGCACATTGGCATAGAATCTCTACGGGCTGCACGTCAAATTATTTTCGAGGCTTCAAGCATCCACGTACAAAAAAAAAAAAAATGCAACAAGGAGTTCCCCTGCGCATGGAAACTCTCTGTTTTGGGGTGAAAAGCACCATACCAAAATGCTGGATATGGCTTGTTCTTAAAAAGGCACAAGTTTGTCAAATGAGGAACTTGTCTTGTATTCTGAACAACTGCTCACAAAGGAAGAATTGGTACAGTCTGTGAGCTCGAACATGTAAAGCTCAAACATACTGGAAACAAGTAAAGGCATGTACGATAAATTACCACATTACGCATGAGGTTCTTATCATTTTCACCCATTACAAAGAACACATACCAAATTCAACCAATTTCCACACTGTTCCTCTGCGAAATAATCAACAGATTTTTTTGCGCAAGCACATGTCACACATGTATAATTCATATAAACAGGAACAGAAATGAATATTTATATGCGGGCACGTAGTTCCAAGACCAGCTAGCAGGGTCGAAACATGCTTTCCCGGTTATGCTTGGAGTCTGATAGAACACAACCTTGGTTTTGAAGACAAAACACATGGGACTTGGCCTGGGTAGCGATACATTGTCATTCACCCAGGTCTTGGCAATATCACAATACAGCGCACATAAACGCCCCCGGGTTATGCCTGTGTGAACATTGTTTTGGCCGTTTCGGCCTGTTCTTATTAACAGTTTGCGCCAATTACATTTTAATGCGTTCTAATTGGCTAGTCACCCTCGCTGCTGGGGGTGGCTCGAAGGTTGTTATTGTAAAATTCTTTGTATTGTTTTTCGAGGCGATTCACAGCCAATTCTCCTTTTACCACTGTAACACAAATAAAATCACTTTAAAACAGATTTGTGTTGGTTATACTGCTGATAAAGGGTCTCACTGAGCGGGGGCCCGAAGTATCAGAACAATCATCACAAAAACAATCAAGTGATACACAACGCAGTTTTACTATTCATGTATCGATTTAGCTTAAATGTTCAGACTTTTGTGTCATTTTACAATTTGCATATCACCAGTATCATCACTGTTTGTCTACATTATAAATCAAGCTTCACCAACATCATCACAGTCCATGCATCATCATAACATAATTCACTAGAATCATCAGTATCCACACCATTCCAACTCTACCAGTCACATTGAATCGAAATTTCATTTCACTCCACACACCATTTGATGTTCACCCAATAAAATGTCCCAACAGGTCAGCAGGGCCATTTCACAGCATTCCAGGATCTGAATACCTGCAACCACCTTTTTGATCCAATTCCAAAAATAAACAAACAAAATGCAGACTGAGGGTATAAAATGCAGACTGAGGGTATAAAATGCAGACTGAGGATAAAATGCAGACTGAGGATAAAATGCAGACTGGGGGTGAATTAGGGATATTTTACAATGCCTAGAACACCATTATCTCGTTGAAAATGTTAAAACACAGATAATTCCTTCATCGTACTTACTCTTTGTCATGGTCATCGATATTAGGCATCAATCTTGAGGAATTACCGCTGATTGACATTTATATAAGGTGCGAAGCAACACTTGTGGATGAGGGGGGGGGGGGGGTATGATGGCAGCAGTCCCTAATCATGCTCCTATTCGTAACGCTAATTCTAATGCAATCGGTTGGTTTTCAAAAACGTAACACCACTCATATTCACGCATTTTTGAAAGCTCGATCTGCAACAAAAGCAGTTGGCATCCAAAACTGATGAAAGTGACTAGCCGTTCAACATTAATATTATCAACAAGAACGATCACGTGACTATGGCTTGGCGGGAATTTGTGAAATATCCCTAATTCACCCCCAGCCAGCATTTTATCCTCAGTCTGCATTTTCTACCCCCAGTCTGCATTTTGTACCCAGTCCGGTCTGCAGTCTGCAGATTATACTGACCGATTAACGATCATTCTCACTCATGCAATAAAGCGACTAGCCGACACGGTGAATGAAATTACTTATAATAGCTGTGATATTTTTTCAAAGCGCTAACGGTAATTAACGGCAATAGGTGTAGTTTCTTTATCTTTATACGTATTTTAAAAATAATTTTTCGCAAGTCAGAACTTGTGTTATTAATATGTTATGGAATAACTCACCTATGCACTAATTAGTGAAACATGCAAATTCATCAATATTAATATTTAATTAGCTATTGTACGACTAAATAAATATACTTTATTAATATGCAAATATGCACGCACGAACGTGTATAGCTTTCAGTTTGGCCAAAATTATTGACTGATAAGTAAGTCGCATCCAATCATATCTAAAGTGAAATTGAGCAATTTCGTTTAAACTTTACTAGTTAAAAAACATGGCTCGTATTTGCCTTTTTCAAAAAGCTGAATGGCGGCATGCACAAACGGCGGAGCGGTCCTGTCTTTATTCTTAGACTAATTATACGGCCTAATTTATTGCAATTTAAAGATCAGTCTATCGTAAATGCGTTTTTCGCAATTTAGTATAGTTTCACACCAAGACCAAATGCATGCAAGAGAGTACGAGATACTTTTATTATACTGAAATAAATTAAAACAAGTTGTTTTTTTTATTTTGTACTTTGAATACGCTAGTGGTTATTTCCTCACAGATCCATTGATACTTCAACTAGCATTTGAATGTCTTCTTTCCTTTTAAATTTATTTTCTTGCCAATACTTTGATCAAGATGAATAGAATCTGTGAAATTATATGGTGATCGCTGACTGATATTTAT